GGTCTTGTCACACAGCAGCATGTCTACATTCTTATCTAGAAACTGGTCAAATTAAAACTCATATTTATCCCAGTTTGTGTCATTGTAGGAAAGGTAATGGTGGTTTTGTGGTAGACTTCTGAACGTGACCAAACTATTTAAACTGATGTGTACTTGTACACCAGGGTGTGACTAACTGATGTGCACAGTGTGACTTTTACACCATGGTGTGTCTAACTGATGTGCACAGTGTGACTTGTACACCAGGGTGTGACTAACTCATGTGCACAGTGTGACTTGTACACTAGGGTGTGATTAACTTAAATGCAGTTTGACTTGTACACTAGGGTGTGATTAACTTATATGCAGTTTGACTTGTACTCTAGGGTGTGACTAACTGATGAACACAGTGTGACACCAGGATTGATGTGTACACCAAGGTGTTTGCAGCAGGTATTCAGTAGTGTAGCACTTGTCAGATATAAATACACAGCAGACTGATAGAAATTACAATGGTCATGAAAGCTGTTAGCTGTTGGATGTAATGTGATTATATCATTGACTATGTGATAAATGTATGGAATACAGAGTACAATCATTGGTTACTGTATCTCTCTATACAAGTCCATTTACACAGGTAGGAGCACTGTTTCAGTAGTAATAACTTTGAATTACAAATGTTTCACCTGTCCTAGAATTGCAACCATAGTCACATATACATGTAACAGCTTTTGTCTGTGTATTTTTATATCAAATTTCTTTAGGGTATCACTATTTCAGATTCGACTAGACAGTTTCAACTTGATATAAGAGGACTTTTTATTACCTTGATAGGATATCGAACTAGTGGGATGTGACCTTGACCTTTTGTTTATAGGGTTATAGGCTGACTAAATGTCCTTCTTATGGTTCAAGTATGCTTAACTTTTGCCTTGACATTTGTAAGATTAAAGGTTATACTCAGATCTGACCTTGACCTTTTTAGAGTTCATGTGTATATTGAAGGTGGTCACAACCCATTAGTAATAAGACATAGGCAAACTTTCAATTTTCTCCACATCAATAAGCATTGCCCTCAGATATATTTTCATGTTCTCTCAACCATAAAGGACAACCCAGTGTTCCTAAAAATAGCACAATCTTCAGCTTTCTTTAGAAGAATCATAATGTTTATAAAAAACAAGGCTGCATCAACAAAACAAAGAATGTGCCAAGTTGTGTGACAGTATAATGTAAATATTTTTAACAACCATGAAAGCAAGACGATTCTTTTAAGTATAAAACTACAGAGACAATTGCATAAGGATTACCTTCATTACCTATGTTTAGTTGTTTTTTTCAGATGTCAGTGGAATAAAGTTTTCAATTAGAGATATAGACAAAATGAAAATTGTACTTTCATCAAGTCTATCAGAACACTGACATTTTCCAGTTTCCATTTTAAGATATGACCTTCATCTTTGTAGAATTCAAGGTTGTTTAATATCTGACCTGAAAACTTATAACCGTGGCATTTGTAATGCCTGAGGATGTACAAAGATGTATGTACAAGTATAATTAATGGCTGTAGACTGGTTTGTGGGCTGACCACTGACTATGTTTATGCTGCACAGCTGGTTAAAGTCAATACTGATATTGTACTCCACAGCTGTCAACTATCTTTCCATGATTAGTCCCCCAATTGTACTACTACATAGGAGTTTGCACCCCCATCACTCATACCCTAGCTGCTCTAGTCTATATTTCATCTCATCATTATTGTCTGGGACATATTCCCTACAAAACATGTTCCTTACACCAAAATCAGATAAGAACAACACATATATTTCTATCTGACCCAATAGTTTAAACTCGGAAAGAAGTTAGGGCATTATGAATGGCTTAAATTGGTGTGCAGTTAAGTTTTTAGAGTGATACATAAAAGTATGATAAGGTTGACCTTTATTTTAACCAAAGTATTTGACATGCTTAGGCATGAGAAATCAGTATCACTCTCATTTTTAAAAAGACTCTCATTGAATTTAACTGTTAGAAAGATGGCTTTAATCTGCCTGTCAGTATGTCTTGGTTGGGAATAGTTGACATTGAGATGCCAGTAAGTGTACTATTTGAAACTTAACTTAAGAGAGAATATATATTGCTTCAGTTTTCAAAAGGATTCCATAGCTATATATATATCTAAATATTGGATAGAAATTTTCTGTTTTTGTGACCTGTCTTAACTTTTACATCAATTTCACTGATTCTATAGTGAAATAATTTTAGACATTTTTTGTGCTATATTTTGTGTAATCATTTTCTTAGTAAAGTTCATTATTTTCTCAACACAGTTTCTCCCCATGTAAAAGTTGAAAGGTGAGAAAGTATCAGAACAAATGCCAGTTAGATATTTGTAAGGACATGTGATGTAGAAGGAGCCTGGTTTAGGTCATTTTGTTGGGACTTTATTTATGGGTAGTGGTTATTTCTGGTCTAAGCCATTGAGAAACATTGCCGTTTACACCAGAATAGTTGGTCCATTTTAGAACTTAACGATTGCTGGAAATTGCTGTAACAATGTAATGGTGAAATCTTATTCTATATTAGCTATATTTGGCCTGTTATTAGGCTGTACTGGATAGGTAACGCCAAACGATTGTGTGACCATAAATAGGCACTGTATATTCCTTCATACGTGGGAGGAATACTCGTAACTACGGTGACAATGGTGACGTGGTGCGCCGGGTCACCATAGTGAAAACAAGTCCTGTATGGAAGTGATTCCATTTCTGTTTGATTTGTTTTCATGTTTGTTAATATCAATTTGCCACTTTGTGACCAGAATACATAATTAGACTTGTACAGTAGTAATTGGTGCTATTTTTACTTATAAGTAACTGTCATCCTACACATCATCCCACACAGACTCACTAACAAAAATTCAGTCACAAGGTTGGATCACCATTTGAGTAATCCATACATTTGTAGTAATACTGACCTCTACATTACCTATGTGTAATTGTTTTCGAGGCTCAGTGGATATATTTCTTCATTCAATATTATTAGTATCTGATGGAAATTTATAGATAGCTGCACATGAGATCTGATAGTACTATCCGGGAGCTTGCTTGATACACTTGCTTTAAACTCTGTAAAGTTTTATGAGACTATTATAACAATCTAAATTTGCTATATTCTGTGTATCTCTTTCTATGTTAATATCACAATGCATACACTATGAAGTTATGACAACACAACTGAAAATGAAAACCTTCAGCCAGTCACAGCCCTGCTAGGTCATATCATACCATTACAGTGATAACATCTAGTTATATAATAAAACTTATTTTACAATTGTTGTGACATAAAATTGATAGTTTTGTTACAGAGTATTGTAATATTAATATTTCTTATGAGAGCAAATCAAGTAACATTACTATTAGTATGCACGGTAAAGTAGATACAGTTTTACTGTATTGCTAACTTGTCCATATACATAGAGTTTATCATCGTTTATAGTTATCCATTTGTAGAAATACCCTTTAAGCTGTTATCTCTGTGCATATGTGCTTTACAGCCATGCATAACCAAAAAAATGACTATCAAAGAGAATTCTTTTGGAAAAATTTCAAAATCTGATGGAGAGTAATGAAATGTAATTGGTTTTGCTGTGGTGTGTTGAGAAGTGTTGCTGTGTGTTGCTGCAGGAGTATGGTGTGTAATGGAGCACTGGGGAGTAATTCTACACCTTAATTTGACTTCATTTGTGCACAAGTTAATTATGTGTAAGGGATATGTGTCAGGAGTATTAATTAGAACACAAAGGGAGGTAACTCCACATTGCAGTTCACTAGGAGACAACAAAAGTGTTTGGTGAACTCTTACCAGTTGTCAAGCATTGCTTCTTTTTATACTGGTTTAAGTTCAAGATATCCAGTGAAAAAATTGTTCAAATAAATCTGGAAGAGTAAATGAAAATAGGGCATCATGACAGGAATTAAATGGAAAAGGCATTTGAAAGGTTTTCTTATAACCACACCCTAGTCAGAATGTTGTAGAGATACCTAGATGTATTTACATGTTTTGTTTGACCCGGCTGGGCAACGCAACACCTATAGATATGTAGGGCTAATGTAATTATAGGAGCTTCAGGATGACTCATCCAGCTTGTAGTCAATGGCGAATGTGAGGATTGATCGGTGGCTGGTGTCAGTGGGATATGTTTGATATATCTTTTGTAAGATATCGACTAGCTTGTGACATAATGCTGAAATGTTGTGTGGATGAATCGGCCCCAGACAGTTCCGTGCTATTTCTGTTGTGTTGTTAGGAGTTATAAACATTGCACACACATTTTCTCCATTCACAAAGTGCTGCTATTACAAATATGAATGGTTTTTTTTTTCTCTGTAAATAATTTGTTTGCTTTGTTTGTGATCATTTCTGAAATATCCTGTTACTGTTTGTAAACCATTTAATTTCCTCTGTGTTCAATTGGTGATCTTGTAATAAATATTTCTTGTAAATGTTTCTAATCTTCTTTTTTCAAAAGGAAATTAAATCTTATACGTAACATTTAAACTAAAACAAAATAATTAAGATAACCTAAGATGTCTATTTAGATATCCTGTGTAATGACCACCCAGATATCCTGTGTAATGACTGCCCAGATATCCTGTGTAATGACTGTCCAGATATCCTGTGTAATGACTGCCCAGATATCCTGTGTAATGACTGTCCAGATATCCTGTGTAATGACCACCCAGATATCCTGTGTAATGACCACCCAGATATCCTGTGTAATGACTGCCCAGATATCCTGTGTAATGACTGTCCAGATATCCTGTGTAATGACTGTCCAGATATCCTGTGTAATGACTGCCCAGATATCCTGTGTAATGACTGCCCAGATATCCTGTGTAATGACCATCCAGATATCCTGTGTAATGACTGCCCAGATATCCTGTGTAATGACTGCCCAGATATCCTGTGTAATGACCGCCCAGATATCCTGTGTAATGACCGCCCAGATATCCTGTGTAATGACTGCCCAGATATCCTGTGTAATGACCATCCAGATATCCTGTGACTGCACAGATATCCTGTGTAATGACTGCCCAGATATCCTGTTTAATGACTGCCCAGATATCCTGTGTAATGACCGCCCAGATATCCTGTGTAATGACTGCCCAGATATCCTGTGTAATGACCATCCAGATATCCTGTGTAATGACCGCACAGATATCCTGTGTAATGACTGCCCAGATATCCTGTTTAATGACTGCCCAGATATCCTGTGTAATGACTGCCCAGATATCCTGTGTGATGACTGCCCAGATATCCTGTGTAATGAATGCCCAGATATCCTCTGTGATGTAAGTGCAGATATCACCTGTTAGATGTGATCCAGTGTTATTTTAGTGGGTGATTTCCTTATTGAATATTCTGTTATTTACTTAGAAAGCAGAATTTCCTGAGTGGTGGTGTTACAAAGTGGGACTACACCTGTAATGTAATCTACTTGAATCTGTGCTTGGAATTCTGCTGTAGAATGTTATCACATTGAAGTCAAGTCAGGGAGGTATTTCTTGTTTTATTGCTATATAGATCTGGTGATAACAGTTTCTCCATCTCTTACAACTTGAAAATGGGAAATTTATTTTGTCGATAGTAATGTGTGATTATATAAAGTGATTGTATGCATAACATTGAAATCATCGAGCCCAGCTCTATAGCTTTTCTTCTCTCCACACTAAACTAAGCATAAAGGTGTAGGCGAGAGTTTGCATAATAATTATCTTCAGGTAGCGTATTTGTACTACATGCTGGCCAATACACAAGTCTGGGGCTTGAGACTGTCGATCATAATGTTGACATTTCCAACGTTTATCATTCCTCCAATATGTGACATGCATGCCTTATGATATTAATTACATAGTATATATGAAATTAATTACTTGACAAAGACAATGGTAATTGGTGATAGATTTCTGTGTCAGAGGGTTGACATGACTGCGATGGCAGCGTTGTCACCTGACCAACTCTTCGTGATGTGTGGGCGTGTGTCTGTACTCAGAAACCCTATTGCCAGCTCCACAATGGCTACCACTCATAAATTCATAACTTCAACTTAATTTGGTTGAACTATTTGATATATATTCTTAAATCTATGCTCTCAGCAAACATGACAGTGACAGCTTTTACGTTTGACTTACTAGAAAGTAAGGTTATCCTATATACAAATCAGAAGCTGTAGCTAACCAGACTAGAGTCTACAAAGGTTGTCGGCTCAGCCCTGAAGTAATGTTTAGAATAACTTCTCTCAAGAGTAAAAAGTTTGGTAGTGTCAGTCTATAAACCTGTGAGATTTCTCTCCTGGTGTGAAACTGTGACGTTTGTTTGTTTGACAAAGGATCCACCTGTGTCAGGTAATACCTTCACAAATTCTACTGCAGACTGCCCTGTGATTGGTGGAAATTTGGCAAAGAAATCGTGGAGTTGACCTCCAATGTTACTCATCCAGGGTTGTAGTATTGTACACCTTTTGCTATGTCATCATAAAGTATCACAGGTACAGCCCTGTAGTATAACCAGGATAGCTTACCTGTGATAACGAGATAACAGATTAATACACCTTCACCACTGGTGTTGTGGGATGGTGTATTCTGGTGTCAATCTATGAGACAATACCACCGACATTTTAACCACAGATCTGTGAAATTTAATGTTTACATATGAGGACTTGTTAGTGGAACAATCAGTACACTGAAAACGGGATATGGAATTCAAGGTAATTGGTTCCTCTCACAGGTTTGTGTTAACAGGTATACAGCAAGCACAGAGGAATTTAATGTTTCATTTTAAAGATGATTTTGTGAAGTCATCTGTGTACTGTGTTTGTGTAGTCCATGTGTAGATTGGTTTATGTTATTTGTAGGTAGACTGTTTGTAACCTGTGTATAGACTCTGCTTGTGTAACACATTTGCAGACTGTTTGTATAATCTGTGTGTACACTGGGTTGGTGTAGTCCATGTGTACTCTGGCTTTGTGTAATTTATTTTAAGACTGTGTGTAGAATGTGTTTGTGTAATCCATGCTTAGACTGTGTTTGTATAACCTATGTGTAGACTAAACATACAGAGAACCCTTTTACTACAAAATTTGATGACATTTACAATGTTTCCTATTATATTCCTATGGAAAATACATTAATAAATGTTTGAAAAAAACATCATGCAGTGTACTTTAAAGCAGGAAACAACAATATTACAATGTATCCTATGTTTATTTAGTGTAGTTCGGTATTTGTTACACTGTACACTCATATACCTATAATAGATTTATGCTCTATCAAGGACCAAAACATAGTTACGAAAAATAGGGGGTGGGCTTCTTGGAAGACAATGTTACAGTATATGTTAAAGTTTTGACTGAGCAGTAGCAGACATTGGTGGGCTGATTACCTGTAGGCGTGGACTTAATGCTGAATAAATACAGTATGACAAAATATGATTTCATGTAATTAAATATTAAACATGATGCAGCAAGCCATGTGACTGTTGTATCTGTAATATTGTTAAATGCGATAATTGTCTCCTTGTAAAAACTACAAGAAAATAATCTATCTCTAGAAAATCATCAGTGTTGAGGTCTCCAGATGTTAAAACTAGAATATTTAAAAAGTGAAGACCTATTGGCCTATAAGGCAGAGTTGATGGTAAAAGGTGTGATCAGATACTACCCAGTTTACTTAGCATGGTAATACAGTTTGTTCACTGGTGATGAGGGGCGCCATGATCAATAAGAGGATTTCTCCTACTGCCTTTTCATGAAGTTCCAAATTGCTTTTTCTTGTCATGACCCTAACTGAAGTACATTCCCCTCATGGTTTCATAAAGCTGTTGACACATTTTACTGCCTGCTGTATATGAACTGCTTTATTATCAGTACAATCAATACCAGTATGTACTGTTGGCACGTTTAAGGGTAAAATGAACTGCCTATAATCAACAGTCCTTAAAAATCGTTTAAAATAACAATACATCATACATGTTATTCTTGTGCTTTGAGAGATGTGTTACAGTTCAGTTACCTCCTAATAGCATAAACTATCAAAAGGATAGTGAATTCTCTTCTTTAATACTAATTTCTGTCTACAAAAGTTGGTATCAAACGTCATTATAACTAAACCAGCAGTTAATGTGTAAATACCATCTGTTAACAGCTTCTCATTTTTCATGTAGTGGAGAGAAGACTTTAGTTATTTTTAACAATCCACCGCTAGCACATATCATGATTGCTTATTTAAATAAAGATGACAGAAACATATAGACTGCCTTTTACAGTATTGTTGATGAATAGATGTTATATGGTAGTGAAATTAAAAATTAGAAAAAACAGAATTATTGAATCGATACAAATGATGAAAAATTTATATACTGGAAGAATTACTATTGAATCAGTAATCAAATAGATAGGTATGTAATATGAATGAGTAGAATTAACAAATGATGTATTATATACAAGTAATAGAAGACAGCAGGCCTTTGAGAAGCTGAATATTTTGCTACATCTTTGATTTTCAGGGTGAGAGTTTCTTAGGGAATAATTGTTGAAGTTATATTATAACTATGAAGAACTGGCCCAGAACTGGTTATAACAGTGTCAAATTATGGAATAATGTTTAGGAATAACTTTTTGTAGTTTTATCGCATCTCCTAGTAATGGAATCATAGGCAATAACTAAAATCACTGTAAAGCTTGTTTACCAAAAGCTTGCAGCAGAGATGATGAAATTGGACTATGGTTTACTTCAATTGTTTTCGTTTCAATGTGTCTTATTTTTGCAATATTATTCAAACTCTAAAATTGACAAAAAATAGAAACACTTAAAAAATAGATATCTTTAACAGTAGGCCCTATAACCTTAACCAATACTAAGTTTGTGATTTTTATTTACAGAACAAGAACTATTTGAGGAAATACCATACAGCAACAAACATTCTGCAGATGAGCCATGTCTGAAACAACATGGCTGCTACAGTAGATGGCCAAAGACTCGGTTATCACACAAGACTCTGTGTCAGCTACTAGCCGGGCACCCCAAAGGTGTGAATGGTGCCACTACACAGCCACCTCAGTCCCCAACCAAGGTGGACAAATTCTTCCTAGAGGAAAACAACAATATCACATATGACGTTGAAGGGGTATCATGCCCTGGAAATGACATCGCAGAGGACAAACGAATGAATGCAAACAGTCATGGACATAACAGGAATTCTAGTAGATCTACTAACGGCAGTGTTGTGACTTCAGGTGAGGCTTGGACGTCAGATGTGTCACCTAGTCCAGGCCAAAGTGGGGGTCCTACTCGGCAGCCTCACCAAGGCATGCTGAGTGGCCGTCCATCTAGCCAAGAATCTTCGTCTCACACATCAACCATGTTAGCATCTGCAGGCTCCCCGGCAAACTTGTCCGGGATTTTCCGCACACCTGCAACACATGTGGATTCCACACAGAGGCATTTGTCAACAGGAAGTCAGTTCTCAACTCTTTATTCCTCCACAGGTGGAGGAGGCGGTGGTGGAGGTGGTGGATCTTCACCTCTATCTTACTCTAACTTACACGGGGCACATCCAAGTGCTGTGGTAGCCGCACAGGGCTCACACATGCAGGCCCCTTATAGTGCTTTTTACCCCCAGTTTCCATCTCACAGCGGATACACACATCGGTCTATGTTGGCTGCCCATTACCCACACATAGAGTCCTACTCAGCTGTCCTACAGAGTATGGGCAGTCAGGTACAGCACGCCTCTCAAACCCAGCTACCTCGTAACTCGTACCTACCCGGTCAGATACCTCAGTACTCCATCCTTGGGGGCAATCAAAGATCCCTGTCTGTGTCCACATCTCCAGGCCCCCAGGGGGCACCACGTCACTCTCCAGCCGCTGGGCAGCACTCTGGGGAGTCAGCAGCTAGAGATATAAAGTCTCCCCTGAAGTACGAAAGGGACATGGAGGGGCACTCGGGGGGGCGTGAATATTCACCACATTACAAGGACGACCGTACACACAGTCTTTCATCCATCGAACTCGGCAGCGGGGGTAAGTCTGTATCATTTAAGGATTTGCCTCCCCGTCACGATTCTCTGTGTAGTAAGGATCAAAGTGACTATAAAGTGCCTAGTGGAAAGGAAGGCAGTCGTAAACACCGAATATTGACTCGGCCCTCGGATAGCGTCATAGAAAGTTCCTCCGTAGATGTACAAAGTGGCTCATATAGCAGCAATAGATCATCAGATCAACCGTCCCCAAAACGATCAAAGGCAGGCTACGGAGCCTCATTGCCCCACGTCAACCCCCATGGGGCAAGTGGGGAGCAGGGTGTGGTAGAGGTCGGCGCAGGCGCCCCCCAGTCCTCAAATCTACACTACCCCCCTCACTTCATGAAGGGGTCAATTATACAGTTAGCTAATGGAGAACTGAAACGTGTTGAAGATCTGCAAACAGATGACTTTGGACAAAGTGCTGATATAAGTAGTGATCTCAAAATAGATTCCAGTACAGTAGTGCGTATGGAAGAGAAAGGTGATGGCAGCACCGTCGTCTTGGGTTTTGTGGTGGGCGAACACCGAGTACAGGTGAGTTCTCGAAATAAAATGTTCATATCACAATTATCAGAAATATTCATACTGATAAAAGAGGTCGATGATTAAACAAATTACATTTTGTGATTTAGTGGCTTTTATTTCCTGTTGAATTATTATCACAAAACCAGACACAGTCTTTAAAATTATAGGGTAATTTTAAGTGCAACGGAATAACAGGAAATGAACATTTGATTTCTTCATTTTTGCTCACAATGAAGTCAGTGGTAAGCTGTGGTTGTCTTGCCTATTGCCAACCCTACTCTAAGTTTCTGAAGAATACATCGGTCAATGTTTCATATATGAACATCCGACTTGGTATCAAGTACATCTTCGTCAGAAACTCAGTTTAGTTCTAAAATAGTTAATAAAAACAAAATTTGTTCATGGACATCATACTTGACATTTTGGCACATCACTGTGGGGCATTAAGATAATTAAAAGAGAAGTATGTGGGTGTAGCACTGAAGCACACAGTCCTCACAATTAACCAGTAAACTGAAGTCTCTAGAGAATGAGTTTAATAAAATAACCATCTACTGTGTAGGGATCTTATTGTGATGAAGGAGAAGAAGGGCATTTAACTATCAAGTGATATTTATATGAAAAAGTAATTTTACTTTAAAATGAAATTTGAAACAAGGGGCATAACTCTTACAGTTATAGACACTAATTGGTACTTTGCAAGGATTGTTTTTTCCAACAACTATATTAAATTTTGCAAGTTACATTGTTGTACGTTGCAAGACTTAAAAAATAATGTGAAACTAAAGTTAATTACAGTGTTTTGCTTGAAAAACAAAAGTTCAATAAGAAATAGGTCAACATTTGATTTTCTGTAATTCTCTGAGATGGTTACAATCAGATTTCAGTTCATAACATTCAAGATGATTAGCTAATTTTACAGAAATACAACTGGCTTCTGTGTATATAGGGCAGCTCTTATCAATGACTTGTGAATTGATATGTATAGTGTTCAGAATGGCAACAGTTGGAATTAATTTTTAGCTCACGTGCATCAATTTTTTTTATCTTTGTACTTCTCATCATACATCTGTTGCTGTTTTTCCTTATGATACAAATTATGAATCACTGAGTTATGTATGAGTCAGCATTGGAAGGTACAGTAAATAAAAGATGTGTGGGATTGCCTATTGTTTTATTCAAATTGATATATTTATAAATACATTTTTGATGTAAAGATTGCATACTTATTTTACTTCAAGTGTAAAAACACATAAGAAAAGCATAGAAGTTGGGATATGTATTGAAGGTTTTCCATCACAACAATTCTGACAGTTTTACAGATAAAGTAAGCAGTTATTGCATACTTTGTCATAAAAATTCATCGATTAGAATAGTTGTTTTTAAGTACTTTATACCAATCAAGAGATTCTTATAATAATTAAATAGGGTCATTCAATAAATTTTTTTGTAAAGATAAAACAATATTTTGGTTGGAGTTATTGTCTCTGAGAACAACTAGTTAAGCTATTGCTAAAAACTACTTTAACAGTTTTAACAAGTGACATTTGTTGGTTTTCTTTATAATTGCTTTTTTTTAACTTTCAAAATTTAGATTAAAAATAGACTCCATTTGGCTTAAGCTTAAAGACAAAATCTAAGTGCAATAGGTATATATTGATGATACTTAACAAAGAGGGAAGATGTTTATATTTTTTTTAATCATTGTTGAGTAAGAATAGAGGGCAATGTCAACAGCTACATGTAGGCTCACATCTTTAAACATTTGTAAAAATATAGAGTATGTTAAAAAAAAGTGTCAATGGCTACAGACATTGTAGCTACATAATGTGCATCCAGAATGAACAGGACAGTATGACCATTTTTAAGACGTTATAGTATTAGGTTGGGAAGTTATCATGATGACAGGGTAACCCTCATTTGACGGTTAATTGAATGTATATCTACCAACTCCTGACTGATGTCAAGGATACTTACATCTAACTCCAAAACATCACAGCGCAGACTTCAATATAAAATATCTTATCTTGCATGCTAATTTCTAACTTGGAAAATTTTCAATTTCATTTATGAAGTTGCTAATCGTAGTCAATTATGAATTGCATATGTGTGGTTTGAAGTTTTTGACTGAGAGATCTGTGTAATCTACCAACAGGTGCCTAATGTGTTTGTGATAATTCAGGACTAATTGAATTCATTCAGGTATGCTGTAGTCATACCTTGTAGCAGTTGATTAATCTAAGTAAAACAGGTGCTGGGTTAAGCACAGAGGTCAGTGGAAGGGTCTCTTTTTCAGTCCTGTTTAAGGAAAATTCATACACATCCACACACTAACACTTACCCAGGTAAAGGAAAAAAATCCTCAAAACTAAACCAGTGGAAGATGTTATAAAGGCTGGGAATTTCTCTTGGGCAATTCAGATTGGTTCTGTAGAGGCCAGTGGTATTTGTTGACAATATTATGAGTTATTACCCAAGAAGTTCAAAGCAGAAAGTCCTTTTACTAGCAACCTAATGCACTAATTTGGGGTTTTTATTTTGCTAATTGAAAACTTTTGAAACAGAACAGTGGGGAGGTATCCCAAGGGAAAGCAGAATATCTCCACTCTGTATTAACAACATGGACGATAAATTTCATTATTCATTTATTTGTAGTAAAAATCTAGTTTTCTTGTTGGTTGTGACTCTGAGGCATAAATATGCACCTTTGAAATATTACCTTACTTATCCAACATTTTTAAAAATTAAGGAATATTTCAAATTTTTAATACAACTCTTCTATGAAATGTTTGCAGATCTTTGGAAGGAACACTGAAATTTTGTATGTTATTGTAAATTTTTTTCATCAGTGACAATATTTTATATATATTATATAGAACGAGATGTATTTTGTATTCAATATATGACTGAAAATGTATTCAACTTGTTCAGTTATTGCAGTGTAAACATGTAATACTTAGGCAGTTGATACTTGATTCTTGTCATTGATATATTATACAATTGACCTCTTGTTCCACACAAAGTGTAGCTGAGTGAAAATGAAATCTCTCTTAAAAAATTTTTTTTAACTGTTACCAGGTTACTGTGGAGGCGACAGTAGAACACCCGTTCTTTGTGTTTGGGCAAGGCTGGTCCTCATGCGACCCCGACAAGACCCTTGAGCGGTATGGCTTGGAGTGTCATAGACTGTCTGTTGGAGATATCTGTATATCTCTCACACACAAGGAGGTCACCGCTCGTGGCGCCGAGCTATCACAACAGCAGCTACGCCATCAGGAGGAGAACAAGCATCTACAGCAAAGCAGGTCCCCTACCTTGACTTTCCAGACCCCAAGGTCAATAAACAAGTGTTCCCAAAGTCAAGGTCAAATGTATTGTAATGTGTCAACAGCTGACAACATAGAAAAGAGTCTGCAAAATTCTCCAATGGACACTGCAGCGGACATAAATCAGGACCAGCATGCAGTGGATAGTAGGCCGCCTCGGAAACGCCACTGGTCATCATCGGACCACAATAATGACAGTGTTCACAATGACCAGAAAAAGCAAGAGAAGTCCTAATGTACCAGATCAACATCAGGAACAAATTTTGTTATGACACAATTTCTTTTCATATGGATTTTTATTATTTAACATATTCAACATTTTTATTTTGCCCACAGATCTTTGTCTGCTCATCTGCTTATGTTACAAGTTATTGTAATTGTAGACGTAAGAAGTGTCACTCTGGCCTTGCCGGTTCAAACATTCCCCTCTCCAACACCCAGGGATGGTATCCATCCCAGTAGTTACAATTAGATTACTGTATACATCTAGACTTGACAAAGGTTTCAGTTCCATAGACAGCTAAATGTATTTTAAAACCTTAGAACTCTTACAAGATTTCACTGCCGGTGGGTGTATCATTCTGGTGCATATTAAATATTTTGTTTTGCCAAAAGACTGATAGATAAAAGCATTATGAGGATTGAAGCATTATCTGTGATGTGAGGGGACTATATGGCTGCCTGTTGATAGATATACCGACTGATGAATGCTGTCAGCCTACCCAAGACAAGAGTTGTAGTGACCCAGATATTGATCCGGCTCTGGTAGCCTCTTGTATTATTGGGATCAGCGTGACACTTGTTACTTTCTATGACAGCTTCCTGCATTGATATATATTTTGTTTGTTTCCATATGATTGAAAATGCAATATGTAAAGCTGGCTTCATAGGCTTATAATGTGATGTTTAATAGCTGTAGTCTTCTCATTATTCAATGCAATTATTTTCTAGGTTACACATTCTTAGCTGCTACTGTTTTGTTCTACATATGTTCAAAGTGTGTTCATTGTCATGATGATTTGAACTGCCCATAACTCACAATCTAAAAACTGATAGCAAATTATTCTGTTTCCTTTCATTCACAACATAACAACTACAAACAAATGAAAATCAATTTGGGACAAGATGTTGTACAGAGTAACCCTGGTGACATGCTTGAATCAAGTTCAAGTTATCTCCCTTAGATAAGTATCACACACCAACAAATTTATGACCTACCTGGACTAGCGTTTCACCTTGTCTGATACAATAACTGTGTGTGTATTCACATGTTTATACTGTTAACTGAAACCAAAAACAAAACAAATTTGTTTGCTATCTTAAAAGAAAACTCATTAAGCAAAGTTAGTTTACATTCTTGACAGAGTTATCACATTTTGTCAGTGATGTTTCTTTATCATGTTTGAAAGGTTATTAGATAACAGGAGTAGAGATCTGAATGATACACACATATCAACATAGAATGCCATGTGACTGTACACCTTGGAGTCATGTTTTGTTTAATCATACCAATACTGTCTTAACATTTTCAATGCTGTGTGATTATTTCATTTATCATATGTTTTATGATAAGATTGGATGAAAAAAATCAAACTATATGGCTGCCAAAATTAAATGTTGCATAGGTTTCAATTCTGAACTATAGAGCTATTTTTTTGTTTGTTTTTTTTTTTTTTTTCCTAACATCAAAAGGGACAACTGAAAAAGAAAAACATGTAATATTGCATTAGAAAGGCAATTAGCTTTAGATAGAACACTATATATCAGGTTTTTACTACAATGTCTAATACCAGATCTATCCATTAACAAGTACAGTGTATTGTAAAATCGGATCCAAAAATAACTTAATAAATATCAGGCATATTTATCCTTGAATAAGTCTAGGTTGCCCAACACCTGACTTTTGACTCCATGTCCATGGATGGCTTATTGCAGGATAATAAAAGTAGCATATGTTTGTAGATTGACTTATTACAAGACATGGCTTACCCCAGACAAGTTGAATGAGTACACCCTACAGTTAGGGGCCTGAACATGTAAACCTGTCTATTCTCAATGGTTAGCGAGTACACCAGACAGTTAGGGGACTGAACATGTAAACCTGTCTATTCTAAATGGTTAGCGAGTACACCGGACAGTTAGGGGACTGAACATGTAAACCTGTCTATTCTAAATGGTTAGCGAGTACACCGGACAGTTAGGGGACTGAACATGTAAACCTGTCTATTCTAAATGGTTAGCGAGTACACCAGACAGTTAGGGGACTGAACATGAAAACCTGTCTATTCTAAATGGTTAGCGAGTACACCAGACAGTTAGGGGACTGAACATATAAACCTAGCAACTCTGAATGGTTAGTGAGTACACCAGACAGTTAGGGGACTGAACTGAATGGGTTAATGAGTTCACCAAACAGTAAGGGGACTGAACATATGAACACATCTGTTCTGAATGGGTTAATGAGTACACCAAGCAGTCCGGGGACTGAACATGTAAACCTGTCTGTTCTTAATGGTTAACTGGTACACACAATTAGGAGACAACATGTGAACCTTTCTGGTGTGAAAGGTTCTGGTTTATATAGGTCTATATAAACCATATATATCTATATGACTCTCATTGGGGAATGTGATATCACAGTCCATAACTCTATGATTCAGATTTATTTGTTGTAGTGCAATCTACCTGTGATAAACAGTCCGCATTAGCTCCAGGTGTGATGTATAGTGATTTTGTTTCCATCTGTTTTGATGTATTCATTTTGGTCAAGTGGCTTACTTATAAGGATGTCAGAATTAATGGTGCAATGTGATCATCCTCGACTCCATTCTTCCTCGCTTTATTTCTCTTGTTCACTTCAAAAATATGTAAATAGGAATGTTTTATAATTAAGCATATGACGTCTTTGTTTTTGCTGATACTGTTGATAGTGTGAGAATTATGTATTAGATAGGTGTTAGATTTTTCAGTATTATATCAGGATGTTTTGTATTTGGTGTTTGATGAAATACAGCAATGAAGTTTTATAATATTGGCTAGATAAATGTCCTGATTAGGTAATAACAAGTAAATGATGGTGTGAAACATCATGTTTTGTTCAACTATTTGGGTAAAGGAAAATTTTGATTTCTAAATCCAAAGGTGGGAAATCATTGTATGGGTGACAATGGGTGTAAACATAGGAATAATTGTTACCATTTTGCTACATTGTTGGTGAAGTTATTTTGTAAAATGTATCTAGAACTACTGAAGACAAGTGAATGGTATCACATGATATGTTTGGTGAACTAACTGTTGTGGATCAGTATAATTGTATCTATTTTTACCACTATTTATAAAGAAAATCAAAACGATTTAATTTCTTTGTGAGAAAGATAAAAAGTTGGTTGTTGAAATGTTTCTTTTTTTCCCTATTAGGGAAAACGTGTCGAAATAATTTCATGAGATGGCCTTTAAATGCACTAATGTTAAGATGAATTAATGTTTGTCCGCGCATTGTTTGTAGCTTGAGGTATAAGGACACATGTCCCTCAGGGTTCTCATGATAACAAAAACGAAAAAAGTCCCCATGTAATGTTTTTCATGGTGACAGTTTGACTGTTGCCTAATCTATGTTCTCATATGTGTTTCCTTTGTCACTGTGACAACACACGTTGCCAGTGTCATCATACATGGCCACAGTACCTTCTTGCATCTCCAAGACAGTGGCAGCATTTCATGTTATACACTGATGGTGTTGTCGTGGTAATGCTGTCAAGTTGCCTTGGAAATGTTAGTAAGTCTTGTGATTAATTAGAATGTATGGAGACTTTGTTGTTTAGTGTTAGATACTTGATCTGTGAATGTATAAAATAATATAGATATGTACATATATCGGATTGACATGAATTTGTTACTCCGGTTCATCTGTTTTAATATTGTTACTTACGCATCAATCCCTGATTCATTCATCGTCATCATTCATAGAGTTTAAATGTTGGACGCAGCTGTTGTATTTTTAAAAGCCTGTTGTCATCTGTGATATGTTACTATTAAAGTGATACTGTTTTATCTGTTACTCATTGTCCATGGCACAGCATTGTTAAACAGATTGCCCACTTTTATTACACAAATATTTTTATGATTCACATTACAATGGTAAGAAATCAGGACAGCTACAAAGTTACTTTAATTACTTAAGAGCCTCCAAAATGAAAAATTCTGAGATGTTTTTGAAGTGTTATTGCTATTAGATTTGACATACTAAGTCATATTAGTTTGACATGTTGTTCATAAACTGCAATTAGAAATACTTTTAATTCAAATGGCAACATATAATCAACGAGGAACAATATCCTTCAAAATTATAAGGCTGGATAAGTTCAGATGCATAATGTAAATGCGTAAGTACTAGGTAGAATGTGTTTTCATGGAGGCATAGGTATATCAGTAAGTAGAGTTAGTATTTAATGAACATACCATTGTTTACCTGAATACCGTTGGTATAACGAAACCATAATTATACACTACACCAGTATACGGTAGGCATAACAGATGTATAATCTGTATACAGTAGGTATATGAAGCTATACATTTGTAATTGTCCACCTGTATACCATAGGTATAATCTATAATTATGTACCTACATACAGTAGGTATAATGAATGTATAATTATACACCTGTATGAAGTAGGTATATTAGAGGTATAATTATACACCTGTATACAATAGGTGTTATGGGTGTATAAATATTCCCCATTCTTAAGATATTTGTGGTGGTTCACAATAGAATTAACATGCAAAACTCAATGAATGACACTTATGATCCATATTGATAAAATTAACTAGCAATCCAATGATTACAACAACAATTTGAAAGTCTCATCAACAACTGACTAGGTAATGTTTGTTTTCATGTTTCATGTGAACCCAGTCAGGTAAATATATCCATATATAATGAATTGGTATTTTACAAGTCTCGAATGTGCAACGAGGGAATGATGCCATGACAGTACTGTTGAGCAAGGCTCTAAATAATTAGATGAAGGAAAAAACTCCTTTGGGGATATCTCATGATGTAGTAAATTACAATTGATTTTTCTTTGTCCTGAATTTTTGACAAGTAGTGAAGGAAAGCTGTCTGCTGTGCCTGGAAGTGTGTGTGTATTTACTGTTAAAGATCTAGAATTGCATTCAAGTATATACTGAAATTTTCTGATGTCCACATGTGTGGTGGGCAAATGTGTGCTGGTTATG